GAGGAAATTCACTATCTCGTTCACCCAGATACAAATAGTGAATCAAGTGCTACACAAGCACTTCCCCGAGTGTTTTGTACACAGCTACACTCAACCCCGAGTACTTTGCACACAGCTGTACTCCTACGCCAACTAAGTGTCTTGCACACAGCTACACTTAGCAACTCCGAGTGTCTCGCACATAGCTACACTCAACAGGGTAGTGTTTTGCACACAGCTACACTCAACCCTCTTTCTACACACTATAGAAAATTGTTTTATAGAGAAAACAAATTTCTCTTCTAGACTTGAAGATTTCTACGTGAAAAGCTCAAATGAATGCACTGAATATTTCACAAATATTGCTCTCTGATTGTGTGTATTTCCTCTGCTTCAAGTCTTCAAACCTTGCCCATATTTATAGTTGAGAATTTCTGAAGTTGCCCGTTGGAGATAGACAATTTCAAAATTTGAAATCTTGTATTGAAAGTTTGCCTTGTAGAGATGTTCAAAATAATTTCAACTTTTATCAAATGTCAGAATTTTTGACTTTGTGAGATTTTCCTGATCTTATGATTTAATTTAGGATCGTAGCTCATCTATTTAATAAATGGACCGTTGCTCATCTGCTCATCTCCATGATTTAATTTAGGATCGTAGCTCATCTATTTAATAAATGGACCGTTGCTCATCTTCATGAATTAATTTAGGACCATTGCTCATCTTCATGAATTAATTTAGGACCGTAGCTCAGAATTAATTACTTTAATTAAATTGAGACCTTGCTCATCTTCATGAATTAATTTAGGACCGTAGCTCAGAATTAATTACAATTAAATTGAGACCGTAGCTCCGTAGCTCTCATCATAACTCATCTCCATGACTCTCTTATTAAATCATAACTCATTTCCATGAATTAAATTGAGACCGTAGCTCTTCTTCACTTCCACGTGGTAAGCATAAAGCAGCTTGCATACACCAAAAATTGCTTATGGTGAGAATTGAACCCAAATCCATTCATAATATCACACAAGCCTTTCACCAATGCCCCATTGCAACTTCTTGGTTGTATAGTGATATGAAATTCTTATCAACAAGATTACCAGAAGTAGCGTGTAGTTCTCGCACTTCAACTCTTCAACCTTCAGCTCCATCTCCAAGCAAAATAGTTACCACAGGGATTCAAACACAACTTCTCTACCAAGTAGAACAATGCCTTGTCTATTGACCTACTAAGACCTTTTGACATAAATACTGCAGATTGATTCCAAGTACCAACATTCTGAGAGGTTCTATTCTCCTCGAGAATTCGTAAGATATTTGGTTCTAGTCTATTTTGAAGATGGTACACTAAACTCAAAATAAAATATGGGGAATTCTATGAATACAATTTTGGCTCATCAAAACTACATTACAATTATTCCTAACAGAAGAGAATGGAATCAAATATGGGGTGTGAAATCAAGAGCAGGAGATATGATTGGAAGGGTTCCTAAAGATTGGGCGAAGTCTGAGGACCAAAACGGTGTCGCTTGAAGCGAGAAGTTGAAGGCCGTTAGTACTTATCAAAACGGCGTCGTTGCAAGGCAAGCAGTTGGGACCGTTTCAACCGCAAGGCAGGACGACGTTGTTTGAGCTTGGCGGTTACAAAGGGCCATCCGACGGTGTCGTTTTGATGCGTATGACTGAGAGTGGAATGCATCGAATAATCAGGAAGTTGTTAGAATAAGTCTTGGACGTATTAGCTAGCTTAGCCGATATATTTTTGGAGTTTTTGTAAAGATGTTTTTCATGCTATTGAATTTATCAAACCCTAGTCTTTCCTCTTTACCCAATTTCTTCTTCTCCTTTACCCCTTTTCTGTTTTCGATTTTTGCTATCAAACCCTAGTTGTGACAAAGAACTGTGAGCCGTTGGTGTTAGGGCCGGTATTAGCCATGGAGAGGATGTCGGGGGCAGTGTGCTTCTTCATGAAGTTCTCATCGGCGAACTTCGTTCTGCAGACCAATTCACCTTCGGTGCTGTTTTCGGCGGTGAAGTCGCCTCCCTGGCACATGAAATTAGGGATAACGTGGTGGAAGGACAAATTTTCCCTCCAACTTGACACCAGCAAATTATTGCATGGATCATGAATATCAAGTACATTTTCAATATATTAAAAGTACATTATTTGTGTACTGAAGGTACATTATTTTTGTACTGAAGATGCATTATATAAAATAATGTACCCTTAATTTATTAAAAATGTACCTTACGTATATAAATAATGTACCCTTAGTATATTAAAAATGTATCTTTTATTTATGGTTCATACAATTTGTGTGGAGCATGGTCCATACAATAAGGATTGCTTAACACCATTTTTGACAGAAAATTTAACGGAGGACCAAGTGTGGTTATTTTTTAAAACTTGAAGAACGTCTCGTGGTCGTTTTAAAGTCGGATAATCACAGATGGTAATACCCCAATACTCAGAGGACCATTGAAGGTATTAACTCCTTGCCAAGTGTACGACGAGTATCTGCTTTTCACCTCCACTACCCACGTGTCTATGCTTTGCACCTATGTCTTCACCTCTCAACCCCCTTTCTCTACCCCTTCTTCACCCCATTACCCCCCCCCCCCCCGCCCCCCCAATACTTATGCCATGCTATCTTCATAGCCCCACTGGCGGGGGCTCTTAGCCCTTGCTAGCCATTCCACGGTCGTGGGAGTTCGATGGGCTCCCTCGCCAGGTCGGTCCTGACCCCCATTAGGCGGTAGTCGTACCCCTCTCTCTCTTGGGTTGTGACACCCTCACCCCACTACTTGGACCGACATGCCTCCTTCACCTCATTAACTTAATACAACATGGCTCCATTAACCCCTTGACTTGGGTCGACATGCCTCCTTCACCCCCTTGGCTTGGGCCACCATGCATCCTCACCCCTTCTTGCCTTGGGGTACCATGTCTCCTTCACCAACTTGACTTGGGTCACCACCATACTCACCCTCTCTTGCTTTGGGACGTCATACATCTGGGCCGACATGCCTCCTTCACCCCCTTTCACCTTTTGGGCTTCCCTTAATACCTTCCCTTCTCTAAGCCCAACAAGACTCCCTTTAACGTCTTAGACCAAGACATTGTCAATAAAAATAGGCAATGGGCCCCCAGTCTGATTGTTATTGTTGTTGTTATTATTATTATTATTATCATCATTATAAAATAATAATAATAATAATAATAATAATAATAATAATAATAAAAAAACAAACAAACAAACAAAAAATACAAATGGGAGCAATAACGTGACTCCCTAGATTAAAAATTTGATTCCACATCGGATGAGCAATAAAATTGGAGCCCAAGGCTCCTTTATAAAAAAGAGCCTTGGGCTCTCTTAAATGAAGTAGTTAAATTTTGTTTTTAATTCTTAAGAGAATGGAAGTTTTGAGATTTTTTTTTTCCTCCAAAGTGCTAATTCGAAACACTGCTCAAAGTAGCATATCAGATTTCAACGTTTGGAGCAAAACGCTATTCCAAAACATCGAGTTAGCAAATGCCGATATTGATGTTTTGACTAAAATGACTTCTTAGACAAAAATTTTGTTGATCAGTCATTTACCAAACATTGTCAATGTTTTTTTTTTTTAATACTAAAACCCTTAATCATTGATATATATATATATATATATATATATATATATATATATATATATATATATAGATATATATATATATATAATCGCACTTAGGTGCGAATGCTTCGCCCAGGCGCGAAATAGGAATGAATTCTGTTCGTCCACGTGTCCAGATCTAATGGATGAGAAACACTGATTTTTTAAAAAAATGCGGTGGTATTTTCGTAAATAATTGAACATCGAAGTCCAAGTAAAATGTATTACAAGTGCATGTAAAATGTATTATAGGTGCAAGTAAAAATTTACACTGAGCATCAATACTTAGTTGCACCTATAGTTCTAAGTAGTTGCACAAATAGTTATAAGTAGTTGCACCTAGGTGTATGAATGTTTGCGAGTGGTTTTCAGGGGTATTACTACTCGCTGAACTCAGATCAATGAATGTTAACAAGGCAAAATTACATGCACTTATAGGTGAAAGTAGGTGCACCTATAGTTATAAGTAGTTGCACCTATAGTTATAAACTTATAAATAGTTGCACATATAGTTATAAGCACACCCAGGTGCATGAATGTTTGCGAAAAGTGAATGCTAACAAGACAAAATTACATGCACATATAGGTGAAAGTAGATGCACCTATAGTTATAAGTAGTTGCACCTATAGTTATAAATAGTTGCACATATAGTTATAAGCACACCTAGGTGCATGAATGTTTGCGGAAAGTGAATGCTAACAAGGCAAAATTACATGCACTTATAGGTAAAAGTAGGTGCACTTGTAAGTGATTTTACTTGCACTTCGATGTTCAATTATTTACGAAAATGTCACCGCATTTTTTTTTAAGTTATTAGATCTGGACACGTGTCGCGCGCTGATTCGTTCGCATTTCCCTCGTGAGCACTTATTTGCACCTGAGTGCATCTCTCTCTCTCTCTCTATATATATATATATATATATATATATATATATATATATATATATATATATATATATATAAGCTTTGATGAGCGGCTATAATTATTTCCCACTTTTTACATGAGTTTTTTATTTTTTATTTTTTACATGAGTTTTTATGTGAGGAGGTTGTAACTTGAACCCTCTTCAAATTTGGAATATCCATCACCCGTGACAACGGTGGACAAATTTAAATTTCCATCTAAAATAATTAATGGCTAAAAAATAAGATAAAAAAAGACAATGCTATTTCATAAATATTACTCCGTATAAACTTTGATGTTTGTAATATTTGTAAACCCATCATTTTTTTTCTTTATTTTTTAACCATTAAATATACCAAATTAACTTTTGATCACAATTATTTGTTGAAAACAATTTAACAAATTAATTAACCTAAAAATAATTATTAACTCATAAATTTTTATGACTGGTGCACGGAGTAAGGATTGGAGTGCAATCTCTCTCTCTCTCTCTTAACTCATCAATTAAAGCTTTCCCATTCAACTGGATGGTAGCATTAGTTGTCATCAACTAAAAGCCATAGCCGCCCATATTACTAGATATGCACTCAGTTGATTGAGTGCATGCAATTCAATAGGCATTCTCATAACTACATACCAGACCACTACAAGTATATACCTTTTCCCCTAACCTATAGCACTTTTTCTCCCTCAATTATTTATACAAGCACATTAGCCTCTCAATTATTTTAAAAATAGTGGTTTTTTTCTCTGATATATTAAATTGACATTTTTACCCTTAAAGTAAACATTTTATTTATTTTACTTCTCCAACAAATTATTGTGTATATGTAGCAATGACCACGGTTCGGTTCGAACTGAACCGAACACTATAGCAATCAAATTAAAAGTTTTCGATTATGATTCAAATCTAGAATCCAATATTTAGATTTCAATTTATTAAATTTATGAACCAAAAAAACTGAATCATGAACCGTGAACGGCGATTCCGGATCCGGTTCGCGATTTTGAAGCGTCTTTATTTTAAATTTTATTTTATTTTTTATTTTAAAATAGTCTAAATTCAACAATAAATGTATTTTATTTTTTCAATTCGGAACATGAACCGACCATTTCGATTTGCGATTTTAATAAACTCTAAATATCGCGTTTTGATTCTAAATTGTAATTGGAATATTTTGGTTTGGTTGCTATAGTATTTGTTTGGTTTGAACCAAATTATAATAATAATTTATTGGAGAAGAAAAATAAATGAAATATTTATTTTAAATATTTATTTTAAAGGTAAATATGTCCATTTAACATTTTAAGGGGGAAAAGAGCCACTTAAATAATTCAAGGGGGGAAAAGTGCTATTTTTCCATTAATATATATATATATATATATATATATATATATATGTGTGTGTGTGTGTGTGTGTGTGTGTGTGTGTGTATGTATATGTATAATGCCTAACAACAATTGCATCATTGTTGAGTAAAAATGTCAACAATAATGTCTGCCATGAAACATTATATATTACCAATATGCCAATGTATAATGTTATTACGCTGTTTGTTTCTTTTTTTTTTTTTTTTTTTTTTAAATTTTTTTTTTGTTTTTTTGTTTTTGAGGAATTATTACGCTGTGTTATGTTCTTCAATAATGCATTACCTTGTAATAAAATTGATATATGAAAAAATTGTTAGGATCAATACGGGTTCACAACACCAAATTCCAATAGCAACTTGAATTGAAAATATTGAGAATATTTTTAGTGTAAGATTTAGAATCATACAGACAATAAGTAATTTGAAAAAGAATTTTCTATATTGACAAAATGATATTACGAATTACAAATAAAACTCTCTATTTCTCTCTAAGGATTTTGTTATGCTAATGGGATTTCTATCTGATCTCTGATGGAATGATTACAATGAAGATGAGTTGCATATTTATAGCAAACTCAAAGTCTAGAAGTTTGCAAAACATTTAATGCAACATTAAATTCAATTCGTCTTCTGCGAATAATTTTCTTAAAACCTTAGTCCAAGCATTTTCCTTACTCAAACCTTTGCCCAAACAATTCCCTTTTACTCAAACCTCTGCCCAAACAATTTTCTTTATTCAAACCTTTACCCAAACAATTGCTCCTCCAAACCTTAGCTCCTACATTGACTTTATTACTTACAAATTAAAAATGTTATGATGTGTGTCAGTAATATATAATGCTGCAAAGGTTGCACTATTGGAAATTATTGAATTTCTGACCACCTGAATGTGATCTTAAATCAAATTGAAAGCAAAAAGTGATCGGAAATAGCAATAAGGGTTTTTCTGGATACCAAAAGTGGTCGGAACAAGACTTTCGACTTGATTTAAGATAACTTTCAGGTGGTCGAAAATTTCAGAATTTTCCGTAATGTTGTTTTTTAGAACGTGAGAAGTGTCTTAGATTTTTACTATTGTCCCATGCTGAGAGTTTAAAGAACCTCCTTCAAATATAATTTCGTATTTTTCATATGGCTTGAAGTTCTTAATATTGATATTCAAAGATTAACTACATCAATTCATGAATTAATTTCGGTAGTATTAAAAAAAAAAAAGATCAAAAAGTATCTAGGAGGATGTAAATCATGGTAACTCAACTGAACCACAGACGCTAGACTTTTGCTTAGTGTGTACAACAAAGAGCCCCCTCTTTTTGAGAGTTTGCTCCCACATTGTGGCTGGTGAGATTCGATCCCTCATTATTCTTTTCAAATTTCACCCCTATAACCAATTGAGCTGTTCATGCAGACTTTTTGTAGACTTTCACATTTCAATTGGATGATAACATTAGTTGTCATCAACTAAATTAAAGCCATATGCACTCGCTTTATTGATTGAGTGCAGTTCAAGAGGCATTCTGATAAGTACCAGTCCACTACAAATTAAAGATTCCATTTCGATCCAAAATCGAAATTGTCTAACAATAATTGCATCATTGTTGAGAGTGAAAATGTCAACAATAATGTCTTCCATGGAACATTATACATTCTAGGTGACAAAGGAAATGCACAAGTATTACCTGAGAGCGTGAGTTGAATAGATCATATTTTTTTTGTAATAGCGAGTTATAAATTATAGTTAAGATCAAGTGTTTATCATTATGTTAAAAATTATAGCGCTCACAGATCGATGATAGGATGTTGAATTCGAGCCCGCACAGGCTTAACTTATTGGTTCAGTAGGCAGTATTTAGGAGAAGAGACCAATGTTCGAACTCAAAGTGGACAATTCCCTTTGAGTGGTAAATTATTGTGTGGACCATGGTGCACACAATGTTATGTGGACCATAATAAAAAGTACATTTTTAATATATTAAATGTATATTATTTTTGTACTGAATGTACATTATACAATATAATGTACACTCAGAACAAAAATAATATACCTCCCCTGAATACAATGTACATTATTTTTGTACTGAATATACATTATTTTTATACTGAATGTATATTATTTTACAATAGAAAAAATATGGTCCACACAACTTGTGTAAATCATGGTTCACACAATAATGATTGCCCTTAGTTTGTGCGCACTGGTATTTGGCCATGTCTGCTAAACCATTTAGTCATCGTGATTTACATTCTCCCAAAAACTTTGTCGGGACGGGGTGTAGAGAGCCCCGAGAGTTAATGATTCAACCTTTTGAGTGAAGAAGCCTATCCCTAACATAAATTACAAAGGAAATCCAAGTAAATTGCACTATATGACAAGAAATTGAACTAGTAACTTTCGATAATCATACTCCACTTACCCAGAAATCCTCAGGCGCAAAAGACTATATATATTATATAGTTCAACAACTACTAAGCATAAGTTCACGTAGAGATCGATCCATGGGGTTGTTTCGCCACCTTCTTCTTGCATCCATCTGCTGCACCATTATTTTCACTGCAGTAGAATCCACAGACGCTTTGGGTTCTTACTGCAACTCAGACAAAAGCCCAACAAACTCCCCAACACCAGCAACCATCCTAAAGCTGATAGCTAACGTGGTGGCCGCCGCCGCGTCGCGAGCTGGCTTCGCCACCGCCTCCTACGGCGGTCCGGGAACCAAAGCCTACGGCCTAGCTCAATGCAGAGGTGACGTCAGCGCCAAAGACTGCTCATCCTGCCTCCAAGACGCCGGCAAGGAGATCCGGAACCGGTGCACCGATGCCGACGGGCGCGAGGCTAGGATTTGGTACGATTTTTGCTTCCTCCGGTACAGCGCCGACGTCTTCTTCGGAACAGTCGACACAGGTAACAACCCTAACAGGATCGGATAGGAAATTTTTCGAGTGGCGACAAATTCTAAATTCACATTTCAGAGAGAAATCTGAGACAAATTCTAAATTCACATTTCGGATATGTTATAATTAAATTCTACTTTAATTACACATCCTATTAATTCTTTTGTGGTAGAATTTCTACTAATTAAACCACCAATTATTAATGCATATCAACAGGTTATACCGTTTTGTACGCTAACGTCGGACAAGTGTCGGACCCCGAGGGGTTCAGCCGGAAGCTGAGGAATCTGGTGAGTGAGATTAGTAAACAGGCCATCTCGCCGGAGAATCAAGGGCTGGGGAAAGGGAAGAGGAAGATCTCGGCTTTTCTGACGTTGTACGCACTGGTGCAGTGCTCTAGGGACCTGGCTCCGGTGGACTGTGCTCAGTGCATCGCCATTGCCGTCGGCGACAATTTCCAAAGCTTCTGTAAAGACAGTAAGGGGTGTCGGGTTATAAATGCCAGTTGCTATGTCCGATATGAGCTTTATCCCTTTTACTTTCCAATCGATTCGCCGGTAAACTCCACCGTCGTCGCCGCCGCGTCTGACGCAAGGAACTACCGGTCAACCGTAGTTTACAAGTACAAACCTTGATGGTATCTTACTATCTGGTCATGCATGGCACGGCTTAAGGGTTTCCGTCCATGTCTGCTATATCCTACTACAATATATATATATATATATATATATATATATATATATATATATATATATATTATTACTCCGTATTATGTCGTTTAATAATGTAATCCCTTTAATTTTCGCTGGCACCTACTGTTCAGTTAATTTTTGAATGATTAATTGTGGACAAAGATCTACGGAGTAAAATTTAGCATAGGCTTACACTTTAACGTGTTAGCTACTTGTGGCAATCCTTATAGTCTTATACCATTGACCAGAGTTTACTGTGCGTTGTGCACTGTGAACTCTAGTGCATGTGTAGTGCCTACTGAAACACAAAGAGCTAATAACGCCTCCACTGAAGCTTTAACTTACAACCTTCCAAATAGAAGTCCGATCCGGATACCATTAGACCACATAGTCCTGATACAATAATGCAATTTGAGTTGAAAACATTTCAATATTTACTCTCACTATTATGACAAGGGAAATGGTAACTTTCAGTACATACCATGTAAGCAATATAATCAAAATCTATCAAGATAATTGAAAAAGATGTCTCAATTACACATATTTTGCTTTTTTTTTTTTTTTTGATAGTTTAATTATTACACATTTTTTGATAGTTCACTAGCCGGCAAAGAATCACAAGGTAAACCAACCTAGATTACCCGTAGTTGATCGGCTTAAATTGAGAAAGTCAATTAAGATGTGAAATAAAGTCAAATGTGGAGTATTTTTGCATTTAATGAGTTAGGTTTGCATTAAATATGTTTACAACAAGAATTGTAATTAAATCTCTAGGCACACAAATCTACCGCTAATATTCACTTGAGTTTGTTATAAATAGGTTATCCCTCTCCATTGTAAGACATCACATCCCATTAGATTGCAAAGCTTAGCATAGCAAAGTATCCTTAAAGAGAGATAGAGAGTTATATTTGTAACTCCTATTGTAATATCTTTTTGCCAATACAAAAAATTCTTCTTAAAAATTGTTTTATTGTGTGTATGATTTATTCTAAATCTTACACTATAAATATTCTCAATATTTATAGCCCAAGCTGTTATTGTAATTAGGTGTTGTGAACTCGTATCGATCCTAACAAGTGGTATTAAAGCCCTATATATGTTGGTTCAAAGATATATCTTTTTTGTATCGTTTATGTTAGAATAAATTCTGGTAAAGTGATTGTACATACATGTCTAGGAAAAAGCTCTAGTTAAGACTTGGTATTCAAGCAGTCCATTTATGACTCACCTATCTTCCCCAGAATGATTTTCCTGGTGTACTGTTGACAAGGTCAGTAGTGTTCTATTATACGATGCTGTTTAGATATATTGTTCAGAATTTGAATCAAGAACAACACTTACAATGGCATCAAAGTATGAGATTGAAAAGTTCAATGGAAACAATTTCTCATTGTGGAAAATGAGATTGAAAGTAGCTTCTTTTTTTTTTTTTTTTTTTTTTTTTTTCTTTTTTGAGATTGAAAGTAGTTCTTAGGGTGTGTCAACGGAGCCTGGCTACAGTGGGAGGTCGGATTCAAAGCGTGTGTAGAACTTGAATCCGAGAAAAGGATCAAGTGGTTGAGGTCGGATAATGGAGGAGAATATAAAAGTTCTATTTTTGTTCATATTTAAATATAAAATTATTCACCAAAGATTTTATAAATCTACAGTATAGAATTTATGAATCTACAGTTTAAAAATCTATGAATCTCGCGTTCTGTACCTATATACCTGGTACTATTTTGGGTCTAGCGACCCGGTTAATAAAGCTAATATTTTCTTGCCCTGTTCTATATCTATATCGCCCGATTTATGGTGGACCCGGTCCCTATAAAACCATGAATATACCCGGCCTACAGGCACCCTAGTCTAGTGGTCTCTAGTCTATACCCGGCCTCAACCTAGTCACTTGGGGTTCGATTCCTATTAGTAGCACTAGCATAATTAGCTGTAGCCCATTCATTGGGCCGTGATCTTTGTATTTGGATCTTTATATTAGTAGCGCTAGCATAATTTCCCTCTTTGCAACGACGAGCCAACAGATCGACAAATTACTCTCTCGTTCGTCAACCTACAGTACCCTCCGTGTAGCAGCTTCGTCGCAGCAACAGATCGACATATTCCTCTCTCGTTCGTCGACCTATAGTACCCTCTGCATAGTAGCTTCTTCCGGCAAAGCTGTGTGGTGGTGGTTGGTGATTGGTGGCGTAGTAAGTACTTACTGCGAAGAATGTCGACAGAAGAGGTCTCGCACTCTCACCGTTGGTTGTATGTTTTTTTTTTAAAAATATATAATATATGTTTTAATAAATAAATAAATAAAATAAAATAAAAAAACAAAAACAGAAAATATTTTAAACGACTTGCGTCAACCATGTGAAGACTTTACTTTGAACTTAATTGAATAACATTACAGGTTTAAGAGATTTAAATAGAGATTTGTTTTATTTAGAGGACCCAATTACAGTATCTAATCGACTTAAGGAGTCAATCTAATACTTTTTTTTCCTACAAAATAATTAAATTTTTTACTTCCATATTTTAAACACTTAGCAAAAAATCTCTATCTCAAACAAAATTCAAGTTCAATTCCCTCGCTCTGAGCAGATTTCAGACCCTATTGCGCGCCTCAAACAAAATTTCCCTCTCAGACTTTTTTCACAAAATTTCTTCCCTCAAACAAATTTCTTTGCCGCACCTCACGCCCACCATTGCATAACAATGCCAACACCCCGACGTCGGCTTCAATTCCTTTCGCACAGCCGCTCAGCCACCGCCCCGCACAACGCTCACCACTTCGCACACTGCACACCAGCCTCACCGCCGCACTCCCGAACCGCCGGATAGCAGCAAAGCCGCACACCCGCGTCGCCGGACAGCTGCACCGCCTCCACTGTGACAAATCTTTAGGGTTTATGAGACCTAAATACTAGTGTATTTAAATTTGTACATCTCAATACAGATTTTTTATATCACTAAATCTGGATCTTTCCATTCTGTAGGTTTCTTAGTTTTAGTAGGTGGAGATCCCGGTGTTGGCAAGAGCACATTATTGTTGTAGGTATGACATTTTGAAGGATTAATAAGTGTTTCAAGTTTAGTAAATATTTGAATGAATGTCGATTCTTCTCCAAATTCAATATTGGTGATTTTCTCCAGAAAATCAAGAAGAACTTTACAAATGTTCTTCTCTTCAAATGCTTTGTTTATTAGTGAAAGATTTTGTGCTCAACATGTGTGGAGCTCTGAGGTTTTGTCCTGAGACAAATTGATATTTCTGTGCTATTGTAGACAAGTAATAAAAAATTATCATTGACATCATGCATCCCTTCAAGCTATGTGTTTCTGTTACTCAGAGTAGTCCAATGATTGATAGTTACAGAATATCTACCCAAGGCACTTCTACTTGGCTTAGGCTTATTTATATCCAAAGCATATCTTTCTAATCAACTTTTGAGTTTTGTATTGTTGGTTTTGACAATTTTCAAAAAAATCATTTTCTATGCTCTTGAAGCGAAAAGGTATTGAAGCCAATAATGGCTGTGAAGTTTGCACTGGATATTGCAAGGTTAGCAGACTTTGGCAATTTTTTAGTTTCATATTAGCATTACCACATGCCTATTGACAGATGCTTTATGTGCATAATAAATAATTTCTCTGTAGTCTGAGTAAGTGTTGAAAACAATGTTCCCCTAATTCCCTTTTTGTGTTTTGATGTGGTTTATTATGCCATAATTGTTCACTTCACAAGGCCACAACATCTTGCACGGTCTTGAAAGGAAGATGTACAATATCTTATCATTGTTTTGTTTATAAGGCTTGAACAAAAGCCTGAAGCAATAATTCATAGAGATTTTTGGAGCCTTCGTAAGTTTCCTTAATGTTTTATCTGATTACTTTCTAGTAAAACTCTGTTTCTGTCTTGGTTTATGCTGAAGTACCTAAGCAGAGTGCAGAATCTTTTGAACTCTTCAATTGAATTAGCAGAAATATACTACGGGATGATTCTGGACATCTAAAGGTTGCTGATTTTGGACTAAGCAAACTTAGTGAGATTTACAAAATCAATAAAAGAAGATAAACCTTTGAGAAGCCAGGAGACTTCATGTAAGTATTCTCTCAGATAAGAAGCCATCTAGTCTAGAAGTGCTCATTTTTATCTGATTCCAAACAACATGTATATCTGTGTTAATTTAGTAGTTGTATATGTTTATATCTGATCAAACCTCATCATTTTTTCTTGCTCAGGATGATACTACCATTTCAAATGGGAATAAAGATTCCCTTGGTTTTGATGACATGTCTGATACTGAAGTTGAAAAGAGACTACAGGTATACTGATGTAGCTCTTTAAGTCTTTTGATTTTGAAAACTTGGATTTTAATTAGTCTTTCTATATACAGTTCCATCTTGTCTCCCTTTTCTTCTTTTTGAAAACAAATAACTGTTTTGTAATACATCCAAATAAGGTTTAACATGAATTTTCATGATCACATTTTTTTTTTTTTTGAAAACGAAATTATTTTATTAAGTCATGATAAAGAGCAGTACAGATGAAAGATGTAGGGGTGGTAAACCACTCATTCTTCCAAGTAACTATCACTTTGGCAGCATGTTTGAGCAGCTGAAGCTGACTGTATTTTCATGACTTTTTTGTTCAATAAGAATTTGATCGAAGTTGAAGAGATTACTGAGGCTCTGAAGATGGTTAAAGTGGTGTAGATTAGTTAACTCAAAGAGAATATACAGTTTTTATTATGTGGTTGCGTGGTTTGTGTTGGTTGATCCTCTGATCACACAGAACAAGTAAGAGTTCCTTTGCCATTTAAGATGCATTGTCATCTAAAGTTAAAGTATAATCCTCTAGCTACTGTAGGATAGAAGTGTTTCTGGTGTATAATTTTATGAGGATAAATTATAATTAGTCATATTTACATTTGGCCAAGCAGATGAACTGGCAAAAATTGAAACAAATTGATCAAATTAGGCCACTATCACAATCACAAAAACTAGAAGGATTGGCCAAAATTGCAAATTCGGGTAAATTATTTTTTACTTTTATTTTCTTCATCCCTTGCTATGAGGTTTTTGCTTATCTCTTCTCCAAGAAACTGAGAAACAAATAACCTTTCATCATCTTTTATATTGCTTTTTAATTCTTGTGTCCAGGCAAAGCGGTTATTGATCTGGTGCGTTCAGAATGGACCGATATTATATCAAGTTATATAGAGTAGGTATGATTTGACGTTGTGATCATTTAGACTTGGTTCGTGGATCGGAATTATTTTTTGTAGTATTATGACTTGGATGATGATTTGATTATAATTAGTCATGCTCAGTATTTTGACTTGTTATTATGAACCTTGCTTAGTTTGTGCAATGTAACTACACTTGGCCATGGTGAATGGATAAATTGTTTTTTATTTATATTATTAAAATTTAAGCAGGTTAAAAACGGTTTGAGACAACGGTTAAAAGTTGTCTATTTTACAATAGACAACAGTTTGAAACTGTTGTCTTTTTTACAAAAGACCACAGTTTGAAACTGTTGTTTTTTCTACAAAAGACAACAGTTTATGGGTGTGACTTTTAACAACAGCGATTTCAACAACACACAATAGACAACAGTTTATAACTGTTGTCTTTTAAAGAAAAGACAACAGTTAAAAACTGTTGTCTATGTGCATCACTTTTAACAACACCGGTTTCAACAACATTGAATTGACAACGGGTCAAAAATCGTTGTCTTTGGAAGAAACGACAACGGTTTAAAACCGTTGTCTATGTTCGTGACTTTTAACAACACCGGTTTCAACAACACTTAATAGACAACGGTTAAAACACTGTTGTCGTTTATAGAAAAGACAACGGTTAAAAACCGTTATTTATGTGCGTCACTTTTAACAATACCGGTTTCAACAACACTTAATAGACAACGGTTCAAAAACCATTGTCGTTTCTAGAAAAAACAACAGTTATTAACCGTTGTCTATGTGTGTGACTTACAACACCGGTTTCAACAACACTTAATAGACAACAATTAAAAATCGTTGTCATTTCTAGAAAAGACAACGATTATTAACCGTTGTCTATGTGCGTGACTTACAACAACACCAGCTTCAACAACACTTAATAGACAACGGTTAAAAAACCGTTGTTGTTTCTAGAAAAGACAACGGTTATTAACCGTTGTCTATGTGCGTGACTTACAACAACACCGGCTTCAACAACACTTAATAGACAACGGTTAAAAAACCGTTGTTGTTTCTAGAAAAGACAACGGTTAAAAAACCGTTGTCTATGCGCGGGACTTACAACAACACCGGTTTCAACAACAGAAATTATACCCCTACGACAACGGTTATTAACCGTTGTCTATGTGCATTTTTCTTGTAGTGTAGCTATCATGATTGAAAATGTTTGGTAAAATTAACTTTTTGATAAGTTGATAAATATAAAAGACAAAAAAGGACATCTTCATAAAATATAAATTAATTTGTTTACATATTAAAGTTTACCATTTTTTCTTTTTTTTTAAAAAAGTAACATTTTGAAATAAAATTATTAGCATTATCATGATTTAAGATCCCATAATGAAGTAGCAATATTGTTGCAAATCTCCTTCATATAATAATAATAATAATAATAATAATAATAATAATAATAATAATAATTGCAGTAAAAGTTGCGGATAAAGGATAAGAGAAAAGGATTTTAATTGAGAAGGATAAATGAGATCATTTCATTAAAATAATTAGGACAAAGATGAAAAAAAAGTTAAGCTACTAGCTTATTTTGAAACGCAATGTAGCATTTCAAAATAAGCTCTTATTTTAAGCTATGAGTAAGAGCTAATTTTGAAAACATTACTAAACAGAGCTTATATCTTATTAATAAATTAAAATAAGTTATAAGCTCCTAAATAAGTTCCGCCAAACAGAGCTTTAGATGGAGCTATCCATAATTGATACTATCCTGAAAACTTTCTTAATAACTCACCAAATTAAACACTTTGCTCTTATAGTAACCCCCGCTGGCAGCGTTATCTCGCCGTGAAATATTATCTGATATGAAAGAAAGAGATCACAGAGATTAGGGAGAGACGACAGGCATACATGTCGGATAAGCCGATAAGGTTTGTTACTTCTAACGCGTGGCCGGGAAAAAATGCAATTTCTTTTGATGATTTGGTTCAATTGAGCACATATATACGTGCTACAATTACTACAAAATTATTACCTTAGACAAAATATACATACGTGTCTAATTGTATATTATATGAATAGATTCTGGTGAAAATATATAATGTTTTCTATAAAAATATAGAATAGACTCATATGTACATCAAACTTTATTAATGCTTGAAAAATAAAGTGTAAAATGTGAAGCAACTCAATAAATATTATAAATTTTTTAAAGTTTGTAATAATTATGAAAATGATAGCATTTTTTTTCTTATTTTTTCACTCTTGATTAGCCCAAATGAACATAGGAGATTATTCTATGTTGTCTTATAAGAAGCATTGTTCCCATATGATTTTAATTCTAAATATATGTGTGTGTATGTCAAATTAATAATTCAACTTTTAAATTTTTAAATTTTATGTCAATAACTTTGTGGTCTAGTGACATGAATTGACTTCTTTAAATGGGAGGTCATGAGTTTGGTTTCCAGGAGGGGCTATACTCTTTGTGAAATCCTCTTCTTTATTCTTTTATTATGTTGAGAAAGAGTTATGAACAAATACTGCACTATTGAAAGTTACTTGAATTCCCGCCGATGTACGTGCTTCAGTAGGATTGTATTAAATTTTGAATTTGATTATTATTGTTAAACCTTTCTCAGTCGAGCCCATAATTTACCTACCCTTAGATACCAATCGTTATGCTGTGCATCCGTATGCACCATGCATGGTGCATACGAATGCCAAAACGACGTCGTTTTATTAAAAAACGCGCGTCTCCCCTTTAAAAAAAATTCAGGTTCGATTCCCAGCAACAACATTATATTCATTCATTCTGAAATTTTAGTTCATAGATTATGGAATTATAGTTCATTGATTATGGAATTATAGTTCATCGATTATGAAATTGTAGTTCATCGATTCTGAAATTTTAGTTTATAGATTATGGAATTTTAGTTCATTCATTCTGGAATTTTTAGTTCATAGATTAGATTATGGAATTATAGTTCATCGATTATGGAATTATAGTTCATCGATTATGGAATTTTAGTTCATCGATTATGGAATTTTAGTTCGAACATGATTTTCTTTTTTAAGGGAAGACGCGCGTTTTATTAAAACGACGTCGTTTTTGCATCCGTATGCACCATGGATGCACAACATAATTTGCCCTTAGATACTAGTTGTAAATTTTTCTCCATAAAAATATTTGCAATAATGTTTCTTTGACCATAGACATGCATGGAACAAAGAAGAAAAGAATCGGATCGACATACAATGTATGGTCCCTTTCTTCTAATGTCATAATGGGGTCACTGCAGACCATGTTTTAAAACTTTTTTTTTTAAATATTATTTTTTTCCTTATTACATATATATATATATATATATATATATATATAGAGAGAGAGAGATGAGTTCGGATGAGGATCACTATATTATAGAGAACTGTGCTGGTGTAGTTGTGTGCCATTAGTTTGTATGTCGTGTGCATGACCTAATGTAATCGTGTGCCACAGTTTGTATCTCGTGTGCATTAGTTTGTTAATTAATGCCGTATAGATTCGAAATCTGATATTTACATGTATTCTTGTGTGTCATTGTGTATTACATTGTGTGCATGATACTAATTTGTTGTGTGTCCGTAATCAGTCTGCACAATCCTCTATATATTTTGGTCCTCATGTAACCTCAACTCTATATATATATATATATATATATATATATATATATATATATATATATATATATATATATATATATATATATATATATATATATATATACTAATAAGAGTCCAAGAGAGTTAGGCCTATAATGGGTAGAAAAAATGGCGGTCACAGATTTTAATCAAATGAATGGCTCAGATTGATTAAAAGATTGATAAGATTTAAATTTTACACTAAAATTTCCTAAAATACCCACGCACCGTTACTAATTCCGTTAAAATTTTAAGAATTGCCGTTAGTTCACCGTTAACTTACTCATTAATTTCAATAAAAAAAAAAAGGTCTTAGGTTCGAACCTCATCCCAATCAAAGTTGGCATAATTAGTACTCTATTTTACTCTTATTAAATTATATAAATAATAATTTAGTAGCTACAACAAAAAATTATAGATATGCATTTCTTTAATTTAGAATTATGTGTCCACAATGCCTTTATTCAAAAAAAAATTATTCATTATCAATAAATTAAATAAGATATAATTTAATTAAATAAGATATAATTGATAGTAAAAAAAAAAAAGATATAATTGTATTAGTTATATTGTCTTTATTTTTCTACAATATAAAAATTCTTTATATTCAAATTTATTAATTGATTATATTCGCTACATTGTCCTTACAATGTCTTAATTCAGTGAAAAAAAATTATTCATTATCAATAAATTAATTAAGAGAAATATTTTCATTATTTATATTGTCTTTTATTTTTCTCAAATGTAAAAATTTTTACATTCAAATTCATCAATTGATTATATTCACTACATTGTCTATTATCTTTTTTGTGCACTATTTTTCTAATTAAATATCAAAGTTATAATACAAAATAATGCTATATATTTATTTACCAAGTATTTTATTAATACCATGAAAAATTAAAAAAATATATAATTAATGAAGCCAACCATATTAACTACTTGAGAGATTTTGTGACAAAGAGAGTATTCAAATCACACAACAAATTGAAGTGAGAACTACCCTGCAATGTCCTTGTTTGACAATCAGCAGTTAGCGGGTTATATTAGCGGATTTGACCAACGAATTTATTTAATTATTAACATTGGGTAGAAAAAATGACCGCCAAATTATTAAATCAAATGAATGGTTCAAATTGTTCAGGTTTTAATTTTTTTTTTAAATTTTTCTAATTTATCCTTAATTATATGATTATCCATTTAACTTTTTCGTTAAATACTGTTAATTCACCGTTAGTCTAATTCTAATATTAACGTCTAATATAGAATTATAATTACACCATTAATCTAATTCTAATATTAAAGTCTTAATAGAACTTAACCACAAATCCTAATGTCGAAATCTCCTCAAACAATATTAGTATATATTTAATATTTTATGCCCTAATTTTTATTTGTTATCCCTTATGTCCCGTATTTGGTTTCAACAATACCTATACAATTATTTTATTGACAATTATAATCAATCTTGACTATATTATCTTGCATTTGTAAACTTAGAATTACCTATTTAACCCGCACGGGCTTAGCTCAATGGTTTAGTGGGCAGTATTTGGGAGAAGAGACCAAGGTTTGAACCTCGACGACGGCAGTGCGGGAATTATGTCCAAAGTGGGCAGATTCCTTGTTCGCACCGGCATTTGGTCCTGTTTGCTGAACCATTGAGTCACCGTGATTTACAACTTCCTACAATGCTCTTTCGGGTCAGAGTGTGGGGGGCCCTTGGGGTAGGGGACTCAACCTTTGGAAGAAGAATTACCTATTTAAATATGCAAATTCAATCTTCAATTATCTATGCATGAACAATTTCAATATAATCTTGCCTTAATATACTTTAAAGTATATATATATATATATATATATATATATATATATATATATATATATTCCATTTTGTTGAGATTGGTGAATTGAAATGTTGTTTGCATATTGTGGAAAAGACAATTTGTGTAGGAACATTCGGGCCCCCATTCCCCTCACCACCACCATGCTTGGAATCTGCCATCATTGCAACTTAGAGAAGAGGAGGCATGGCAGTCAACATGCATGAATAATAATGATTTGTATAATTGTATGTATTGTTTTCAAGAGCAGAGCACGCACAACTAACTTTCCCAAACAGGACCACCACCTTAATTGTGGAGTATCACCCAAATTTGAAGTTAAAATCATGTGCAAATTATACTATGAATCATGAATAAAAGTTTATTTTTAATATACTGAAGGTACATTAAAGGTGCACTGAAAATTCATTATTTAATAGTATATCAAGTCATGAATTTGTTGACCTCATTAACTTATTATCAAAAACTAAATCATGTAATGAAAAATTCTAGATCAGGAGAGGAATTAACAAGGAAATTTTTTTGAAGAGGTGAGTAGCATTACTCTAAATGAAAAATGTATTAATACAGCGGTAACGTCATCAGAATATAGGTCCTTGTATGTCTATGTCATGTTAATAAATTTTAGGTCATGTATCTTTTCAAGTAAGAACCGATCTGTAAATAAGACCACTACCTAATTTGCGTTAAATCTAAATTCCTCTCACAATAATAAAGATAGGTAAGAGTTGAGTTAGCTACCTAATGACCTTATAAATTTAAATCAATTATCTATGAATAACTTATTTACCTCTTATATTCTTTGCGATAAAAGATTTCACAAAATTAACTTCACTCAAAACAAACCTTTACAAAGAATATAATACATTACAACCTATTTAAATAAGACTTTCTCGTTTATTCAGAGTATCAAATTTCATTAAGAATGGCGAGTAATAATCCATTATGAGAGTGACATGCACGCACAACAATGCAAATATTGGATACATATAGAAATGGGTGTATGTAGGCAGGAGGCAGGCAGAATTAATGGGTTGCCCCCTACTGCCACTTTACACATCTTTGTGGCACGCCCTACAAGCCCCACGCAAACCACATCTTCATTTTTATCCATTTTAAGGGCGTTAGGTTGAAGTTATACAATATATCTAAAGCTTACATTTTTATATTTGATTAATTTTATCTTACTTTCTCAAGGAAATATAACATTCACCAAGAAATACAATAAACTCATGTAAAATATACAAACGGTCTACTCTACAGTGTACAATACTAGGTTGGTCCTAAGTTCGGATTCTATGCCTAATCTGCTTATTGGTTTAATTTAAGTCTTTAGGATCTGATGACTTGACAGGGGTCAGAGGTTCCTGAGCTAAAGACCCTTCTATTAAAGGCTAAAGGTTCTCTCCCTCGGCAATAAATGTGATATTTATGGTTGTAGGTAGGGGACAAATTCTGGTCTTGCGACATGAAGGGCATGTAAAGCCCATGCACAGGCTTAGATCGGGGTTCCTACATGTGTTGTAATGTTTCTGCGGGTAAGTGTCGCGTTGTTGAGTCCAGGTCAATAGTTCGCCCCCGACCTGAGTAGGTCGGGTGTATGCCAGGGCCTTGCGAGCATCGGGCAGCAATTATAACTGCTCTGCGGGCCGTACGATCGGTAAAGCAACTAGAGGTATGGTCGGTTTAGGTTGGATCACGCCCGTCTCGAGTAGGAGATCCGATGCCGACCATCATACATGTACTGCTCCTGAGGGATATTTCGTATCAGTAACATACCTTGATTTTGAAGGGGAATGTGATTCCCACCCTTCTTAGGTTATCTAAGGTTATCTTGGATATTTACAAATTTTGCCATTTTAATTATATATATATATATATATATATATATATATATATATATATATATATATATATATATATATATATATAAAAGATTATAAACTGTATTGATTTAATTGACACAAACAACAAGCTATAAATAGCTTACAAGGGAGAGAAGCTAGCAAGTGGTTAGTAGGAAGTTATAACCACCAGTTTAATACTGCTATTCTAAAGGAGAATAATTAAAACTAAATAGAGACAAAATGTATCAGCCACAAGTATCCTTAATATGCCCCTGCAAGATAGAGGATCCATCGGAGACTCCAACCTTGGAACGGAAAAGCAAAAACAACGAACGGCCTAACGGCTTGGTGAGAAAATTAGCGAGCTGAGCCGACGAAGAAATGTGCCGAACCACCAACGAACCATTAGCAATCAAGTCCCGAACAAAGAAATAGTCGAGTGCGAGGTGCTTCATGCGCGAATGAAACACCGGATTTCTACACACGTACATAGCACTGAGATTGTCACAAAGCAGAACCGGAGGCTTCAACAGTCGCGTCCGGAGCTCATGCAGCAAATTCTTGACCCACAGAACCTCTGCAGCGGCGTTTGCTAAGGCTCGATACTCGGCTTCCGTAGACGAGCGGGAAACCGACTTCTGACGAGTGGACTTCCAGGAAACAAGATTGGACCCAAGATACAGTAGATAAGCTGTAGTGGACCGCCCACTAGAGGTGCAACAACAACAATCAGCATCTGTATATACACTCAGCGATAGAGGTTGCCCAGCACGAAGGTACAGCCCATGATACACCGTACCCTTGAGGTAGCCGATATGATAGAATTGTAATCCTCCCCCAACTGAGTCAATATGTAGACGATTAGATCATCATAAGATACAGGACACTGAGCCAACGCCAGATCATCGGCTATGGCTCGCATGTCATTGAGGTAAGTAGCGATGGACCGAGAACCTCTCGGGTTTTTAGTGAGTTTTGCCTTGAGGGAAATAATGCGTCCTCTAGAGGCACTGGCATAACTGGCAACCAGATGTTGCCATGCATCATGAGCTGTCGTAGCAGATGAAACGAGTGGCTGTATTGTGTCAGTGCAGCTGCCCAGAAGTGCACCAACATTGATTTGGTCCTGACGATACCAAGATAAATGTCTTGGGTTGGGAACGGTTTGAGCAGGATCAGTGTATTCGGTGGGTTCCTTGGTGGAACCGTCAATATAGCCTAGGAGATTGAGACCAACAAGGGTAGCATGAACTTGTCGGCGCCAAACTGAGAAATTGATGGTAGTGAGTTTAATGGGAAAGTGTGTGGGAGCATTGAGTTGGATGATTTCATTGGTGGTAGTAGAAGCCATCGAAAAAAAAAAAAAAAAAAGGAGGAAGTTCTTTCGTAGGAGAAAGCTGGCTCTTGATACCATATAAGACTATGAATTGTATTGATTTAATTGACACAAACAACAAGATATAAATAGCATACAGGGGAGAGAAGCTAGCAGGAAGTTATAACCACCAGTTTAATACTGCTATTCTAAAGGAGAATAATTAAAACTAAATAGAGACAAAATGTATCAACCACAAGTATCCTTTATATATATATATATATATATATATATATATATATATATATATATATATATAATGTTAGCTTATTATATATATTATATTTAATTGTTTTTGTAATTATATATTTTATTTTATTTTTATTACATCATGTTAACTTATAAAATAATTTAGTTTTACAAGTTCAAGATTTTAGTTAATATTTTTAAATCATGTAATTATATATGATACCATTATCTTATTTATTCATTTATTTTAATTTTTACATTTATCAAAATATATGAAAATATGTTAAGAGTATATATACTATACAAAAAGTCACTAGTTAATTAGAGTGAGTTTGTGATATAAGTTCTAATTTAATAAGGTTGGGTGATACTAAAAGAATTTTGATCTAAAAATCGTTCTTTTGAGGAGTAAACTATATTTTATAGAGTTGGACAGTGAATACATGTCGAATTTCTGTCAAGGGGTACACATCGTTTAGCTACATATCAATTAGCTATGTCACTTATGCCACGTGCATGTTACAACTCATTTTGATAAGATGACTGAAAGAAATTTTATGTGCTACCAATTTTTTTTGTCACACCACAAGGTGTCTAGAGTATATTCTAATTGTGGAAGACACCTTTAAATTTGTACCATACTCAGATTAATTTTCGTTCGCACCGAATTGGACCAATTAAGGTCTAAAGTGTGCTGCTGACAGTTGGTCAAATTAATTCTTTTTATACAAAAGTGTTCAAACTCTCGATCTTTTTTTAATGATAAAAGTATACGGTCGCCAACTAAGCTGGTTGTGTGCTATCAATTTAGTTGTCAACTTTCCAATCTCTCTGTATATCCCCTCAAATATGTAATGCTCCATAGTCATTATGATCTATGGTGAAACATCATTTCCCGAAGTGACTTTATTGCGGAATCAGTCAGTAGAAATATCATTGACCGATTAATATAATGTTGGTAGCAACAAACTTCGATGCCATGCATATATGACGACCTCAAGTTTCGATGCCCATAATTTCTACAAACAAATAGGAGATCGAGAATCTGCTGTGAGCTTTCTTTACATTAATTGTTAACATGCATGGCTTCACAAACTTCTAGGTTTCCATAAGTGTTGCTAGCCCTAAATGTTGTTGTTTGTTGGTCGGTTAGATATGGAAACTTTATACGATAATGAGCAGAGAATATATAATTTTATTTTGTTATACTTACATAATAGTTAGCGTAATGTTTTAATGTTAAAATATTACTTTTGAGTTTACAAAATAGTGATCTAAACCTGTGCAGGACGGTGTGTGTATATCTTTTTTGCTACATAGTAGACACAAGTTATAATGATTCTCGTCACTTCCAATCCCATCCAAATCACTAAAAGCCAAAATGCAGAGTTTTCATTTTGATTCTTCATGACTACTCTTCATGAGTTGGGGACCTCATTAGCTAGCTAGCTAGCTCAGTACTGAATAAAACGCCACACCATCTTCTTAAGGCCATGATTTAGCCACCCAAAACCCCACCTTATTCTCCATATCCTTTGCCATTCTTTCATTCTAATCATCATAACCCTCATTCACATACACTTGTTTGTTGTTACCTAGCTCCCCACAAAAACCAAAACCACTTTTTTTTTTTTTTTTTTTTTGACGAGAAAAATCTGCAGCCACTATCCAAATGTTTGCACGGGTAAACTGTACTCCACTTTGTGATCCTAACTGACAAAAGAGGTAAACTAGTCTAAATTGTCTATAATTGATCAGTTCAAACCAAGAAAGCCAATAAATCACTCGCATTAGAAGTCAAACTTATAACGCTGTTGTTTTGAAAAGCCAACAACTAACCTGGGTGGGTTGCCCCCACCAAAACCACCTTTTATGTCGAAAGACAGCAGTGTAGTTTAGTGTTAAGTTGAGCAATGGCCAACAACGTTAGCCGCCTCCACTCCTCTCTCCTGCTCGTCTTCTTCCTCCTCCTCATTCTTGCTTCTCATCATCTCATTCAAGGTTCACTTCCTTCAATTCCCCACATTTTTCTTCACCTTCAACTAACTCTTCTGCATTTGTTTCTGCCATTTATATATGCTTCTTCTTCTTGCATTGACCTTTCTTTTCTTTCAGGCGCCGCTGAGAGCTCAAGAACTCCATTGATTGTTCCATCCAGAAGAGAATCCCACTCACAGGTAATAATAACTAAGAACAAACTTTTTTTTTTTTTTATCTTGGTAATCTTGTGAACTGAGTGAGGTATTGTTGGTTTGAATATGTTTAGGGTGGTGGAAGGAGATGGGTGGACAAGAACACAAGAAGATTAGTACCGAATCCCGAGAGTCCCGACCTGTCCCAACCCAGAAGTGTTGGTGTAAGAGATAAATTGTTGGACGTGTTTCAACGGTCTATCAGTTTTTCCAAGAACCCAAGAAGATTAGAAGTACTGAACCCGAATCCAAAGAGTCCCGACTTATCCCAACCCAGAAGTCTGGGTGAAGGAAGTAAATCGCTGAATGTGTTTCAATGGTCTACGGGTTTTCCCAAGAACCCGAGACGATTGATGATAGGGTCAGTGGCACCAACCTGCACCTACAATGAATGCAAAGGATGCAAATACAAGTGCAGAGCTGAGCAAGTCCCAGTAGAAGGGAATGACCCTATAAACAGCCCATATCACTACAAATGTGTCTGCCACCGCTAATCTCATCACCCCACTACAAATTCTTTAAAGTTTTGCTCAGAAGTTCAATCAGCTCAACCTGCAAATTAGAGGTTTAGAAGAAAGAGTTGGCAGTGTGTTCATAGATTTAAGTTTATTATGATGAGTTGAGGCAATTCCAACTTGGATTCAGGTTGCTCGATATGGATTCTGTGAATTTTTTTTTTCTTTTTGCTCTTTTTCTACGTTGGGAAGAGGTTTGTGATGTCGTCCTGTTTGTTTATCATTTTTGTTTGCATGTACTAAAGTGAGCTGCAGCGATAGATTTGGGTCAGAAGATAAATTTACTACATTGCATAGAAACAAGTGGATGTGAGTTACTTATTGCAGTAAATAAACCTTGCCATTTAAATACATACTTTTCAGATCTACTGCGGGCATTCGATCTCCTGGTCGGGCCTCATTTTCATGTCATTGCTATCTGGCTCCGATCTGCTAAACCATTGAGTCATCGTAATTTACATCTTTCCATTGGGTCAGGGTGCGGGGACGCTTGAAGTTGGAGATTCATCTTTGGGAGAAGATGGGGTTCTTAATAAAAAAAAATGTTTTATGTCAATTTTGGCCGTGTTTGGTAAAAAAAAAAAATTGGCCTATAGGCCAATTTTGGCTTATTTGACCACTATAAATTGTTTGATTTAGTTAAAATTTCAATATAAGTGTTTGGTTAATTAGCTTTTTGCAACTCTAAAATTATAAAATTCAAAAAGCTACTCCAAACAACTTTTTCAATTAGTTTTTTTCAAAAAAGAAATTATACCAAACAGCTATCAGCTAACAGCTAATTTACCAAACACTTTTCTACAACAGCTAATGTTATCAACTAGTTATACTCTTTAATTAACACAATCAGCTAACAGCTAACAGCTAACAGTCATTTATCAAATAGGACTATATGAAATGTTATGTGAGATGTTATGTGAGAGGGTTTAATTTGATGGGTGGAAGAGGTGAATATTCCCAACATAAATGAACTATGGGAGAGGGGAGGAAGTGAAGATAGAAGAAGGGTATAGAAGAAGCAAGAAAAGAGTTGGGGTAGGTGGGTTGGGGGGACTGCAAGTGGCACATGGAATGGACCCCAAGGATTGATGCATAGCAGAGGGAGTGGTCACATGGGCAATATAATCTTGTTGCATATAATAAGGTAAAATTGACAGATTCATAGGGGCCTTTCAATTCATTTAGGACATTCGGACATATCTATGAAACATAGCTATACGTACACTAGCTTTCATTAGGGTTGAATTCAAATGAATTTTTTTCTTTGGTTGTAACTTGTAAACGTTTGATTAATCTCCAGTACTTCTATAATTATGGTTAAATCGAAACTCAAGTCTTTTAGTTGTTGAGTTAATTCCCAAAATGGTCTTCTGACTATGATTTTTTTCTCAAATTAATTCCTTAATTTTTAATTGCACCAAAAGTGGTCCTCTGACTATTGAATTGTAAGCTAAAATGATCCTCTGTTAGATTTGGTGTTAATGGGTGTTAAATTGAAAGGTAAAACGGTTTATATGTTTTGTTGTTTAGCCTATTCATCTGCCGTTTATTTTCCTACTTAACTTTTTTTTTTTTTTTTTTTTAATTTACAAACTCCTAATTACGTAAACCAATAAACCATCAGATTCGCTAATTAACTTTTTTTTTTTTTTTTGAAAACATTCCCTAATTAACTAAACAAGTGATTTCCCCTAACTAACTAATTAAACCAGTAAACCATTCGCTTTTCCCCTAATTAACTAATTAAACCAGTAAACCATTAAACATTTGATTAACCAGTAAACCATTCTCTCCAAATGTTTAGTTAATTAGGGGAAAAGCGAATGGTTTACTGGTTTAGTTAATTAGGGGAATTCACTAGTTTAGCTAATATCTGATGGTTTATTAGTTTAGGTAAATACGGGTTTGTAAATTAAAAAAAATAAAATAAAATAAGTAGGGAAATTAATGGCGAATGAATAAGCTAAACAACAAAATATATAAAATGTCCGTTTTACCCTCTAATTTAACACTCACTTAATACCAAATCTAACGGAGTACCATTTTGACTTAAAATTTAATAGTCGGATGACCACTTTGGGTGCAATTAAAAATCAAAGAACTAATTAGAAAAAAAAGGTCATAGTCGGAGGACCATTTTGAAAATTAACTCTTTAGTTGTTAGAGTTTAATCGAAACTCAAGTTCAGTGTTATTAGGGTATGATAGAAACTTAGGGTGTGTTTGGAAACCTGGAAAATGAGTTCTGGAAATCATTTTCCAAGTTTTCACTGTTTGGATGTGCCTGGAAAATCAAGTCAACGGAAATCATTTTCCGTTGACTTTGGAAAATAGGCTTGTTTTGGAGAAAAATGACTTCCCCTTTTTTTTGGGGAAGTCATTTTCCAACTTTTACACCAGCATCACTCCACCACCAACATCATCAACACCATACCACCACCACCTCACTACCACCATCACCACCACTACTGCCGCCGTCGCCACCACTATACCACCGCAACCACCGCCACCACACCACCACCATCACACCACCACCAACACCATACCACCGCAACCACTACCACCACCAACATCATCAACACCATACTACCACCACCACCGCTGCTACCACCACCACCACCATACCACCACAACCATCGTCGTCGCCACCGCCACCACCATACCACCGCCACCACACCACCACCACACCACCAACATCACACCACCACCACAACCACCACTGCCGCCGCCGCCACCACCACCACCATACCACCGTCACCGCCACCACCACCGTCGTCGCCACCACCACCATACCACCGCAACCACCGTCGCCGCCGCCACCACCACCATACCACCGCTGCTGCCACCACCACCAGCATCACACCACCGCCACCGCCACCACCACCATACCATCGCAACCACCATCGCCGCCGCCACCACCACCACCATACTACTGCAACCACCGCCACCACACCACCACCACCACTATACCACCGCAACCATCGTCGCCGCCACCACCACCACCATACCACCGCCACCACACCACCACCACCACATCATCGCCACCACACCGCCACCACACCACCACCACTACTACCACCGCCGCCGTCGGCACCACCACCATACCACCGTCGCCGCCACCACCATCACTACCACCACCACCGCCGCCGCTGCCACCACCACCATACTACCGCAACCACCGTCGCCGCCACCACCACCACCAAACCACCGCAACCACCGTCGCCGCCACCACCACCACCATACCACTGAAACCACCACCACCACTGCCACCACCGTCATACCACCACCAGTTATTATTATTATTATTATTATTATTATTATTATTATTATTATTATTATTATTATATAACAAATAACACCACTACCACTACACCACCATCACCATAATATTTTTGATATATTATTAGTTATTTTTTTATTATATTTAAAATTATTATTATATTATTATATATTATTATACATGTTGTAATATTCTAAATAAAATAATTAAAATGTTTAATTATACAATTCTACTCATTTTCCAGAAAATGAACCAAACACACAAAAAGAGTTTTCCAGAATGCAACCAAACACTGGAAAGGAAAATATTTTCCGGAAAATGACTCATTTTCCAGAAAACATTTTTCAGAAGTCATTTTCCTGCTTTCCAAACGGACCCTTAATTGAAATAATTGTAATTTAGTTAGTAATATGCTTTTATTAACTTTTATTAGTATTAGTGTATTGAATTTTTTATTTAAAATTTAAATTTGTAAAATGAAATCAGAAAATTGGAGAAATGGAAAACATGAGAAACAAAGAATGTAAATTAGAAAATTGAAGAAATAAAAAAAAATTAAAAAATAAAAGCAGAGAAATAAAGTAAATCACCACAAATCTTTTATGCCGGGGGAAGGGGGGGGGGGGGGGGGTGAGGGGGTGTATTCTTTGCATATCAAAATAGGCAAAGCATCACTTGGAACAGGAAACTGATCGAATCCCTCTGGTATATATATATATGATGTTTTCTGATTTGTACAATCGTACTATTAATGCAGATTATGACTTTTATATATGAGTTCTATTACATGTACTTTTAAATTTTACTCTCTTACTTTTACTTCATGATGTGACAACCAAGAATATCTGAATATGATGTTTTCATCCTGTGGAACCTTATAACTAGAATGTCTACATCAAGATGTTTTTACTCTCAATATTTACACTCTCTCATAAATTCTTGATATAGACACTTTTTTAGAACCCACGTGATGAAAACATCATATCCTTGTTTGTCATGGAGTAATGAAAGAGTAAAATTTGGGAGTACATATATGTAGTAGAATTCTTACTACATGGAATCTAAATCTGATAAGCTACTTTTTTTCATTTAGGCCACAATACAAGTGTCTATATCAAAATTTTATATCTGATTAAAAGTTGAAAGTAGAAAATGAGAATACATATAATATTTTTTTCTATATATATCATGGCCTTCTTCTACAATGAGTCTTGTAGTCTTGTCAAGAAGTGAAACATATACGGAGTATATATTAAGAGGAGTATTGACACTTGACAGGCTAGAGAAGATTCTTTTTCCATCAACAAAAAATTACTTAGGGTAAAAAAGAGGTTTGGTCTGAAAGAGTATTGACAATTGTCATGTATCTAAGGTAATTATTGTGGTCTCAAATTTCACAAGTTTTAAAATTTTCACGTGTTCTAATTTTCTGTATAGAAAATGAAATTAAGAGTAACATGAAAAAATGTGTTGATGATGAAGTTTAAAATAAAACTAACTTACTAAGTATTGTTGTAAAATGATGGCGAAGGTACTAGTGCGCAAATTAACGCCGAGTAATTTAAGGAAATAAAAATGAATGAAAACAAACAAGCAAGTAGATGCATATGGAGCAAATATTCCTTACGACGTATATGAGTCTAGTACAAACTGAGTTGAGTACAAGATTGTTGGAATATTACATCTTACAATTACATATGGACTAGTTTTGCATGATTAATAACAAGTATAATGGTGAATGAACCATGTCAATCTCTCTGTGGTTGACCAGTTTTGAATTTTCTTGTTATAAATAACGCCTCCTAGGCCAAGCACTTTGTGCTCAGATGGTATGTAGTGACTCTTCCATATGGGAGGTAATGCGATCGAGCCTCAGTGGAAACGATGTTGACTACTCTTTGTACTTCAACAGGTTGAGAAAGTATAGATGAACAGATACTACAATGTAATAGAGTCAGTAGTATTAAAAAAAAAAAAAGCATCCTAGCAACTATATTACGCTAAGTCTTGCCGGGTGGGTTTAGGGGGTGTTTGATAAATTAGTTGTTAGTTGATAGCTAATTACATACAAAATGT